TTACGCCGCAGCTCTCGGTTGGGAGCTTTGGTCTTATCAGCTCGATTACGTCACCGCTCGCTCTTGGGAGCCGCGGTGCTAAGAGCCTTTGGGAGTATTTTGGGCCTCTTGGGGGGCTCTTGGGGAGCCTCTTGGGTGCCTCTTGGGGACCTTTTGGGGCTTTTCGGGGGCCTCTTGGGGCCTCCTGGGAGCTTCTGGGCTGCGGGGGTGAAGGGACTAGGCTGCCTTTGGCCGTCTTTGGGCTCTCTTGGGGGCCTTTTGGGGCCTTCTTGGGGCCGTCCTGGCGCCGTCTTGGGCCGTCTTGGCGCCTCTTGGGCCGTCTTGGCGCCCTCTTGGGGCCGTTTTGGGGCCTTTTGGGGGGCCTCTTGGGTCTTCTTGGGGCGCTCTTGGGGACCTCTTGGACAATCTTGGACGCCTCTTGGCCCGTCTTGGCGCCCTCTTGGGCTATTTTGGGGGCCTCTTGGGAGCATCTTGGGCCGTCTTGGAGCGGTCTTGGGGGCCTCTTGGACCGTCTTCAACGTCATGAAAGGCGAAAAGCCGTATATGCTAGAAATGCACGTTTTCCTTAAGAAAATCAATGATTTTGGCCTCTTGGGGCCCTCTTGGGACGCCTCGTGGGCGCCTCCTGGGGCGTCGTGGAGGCCTCTTGGGACGTCTTGGGGCCGCCTTGGGCGGTCTTGGGCTCTCTTGAAGCGCTCTTGGGCCGTCTTGGGCGCTTCTTGGGCCGTCTTGGGCCGTCTTGGGCGCCGTCTTGGCCGCTTCTTGGGCTGTCTTAGGCGCCTAAGACGGCCCAAGAAGCGCCCAAGAAGCGTTTTCCGATGATGTCTCGAGCGAAACGCTGTTTTTAAGCCCCGAAGGCCGTCCTACTCGATAAAAAACGATGCGGGAGGGCAATTAGATCCGGGTCTGGCGATGCCACCCCCCTCGAACTCACCCAAGTCAAATTTCTTCCGACTAACGGACCGCACGCTGACGCGCGCTTTCCGTCATCCGCCGCCCCCTGTCAATTCATCGCAGGGGTGCCTGGCGTGCTGGATCCTCTCGGTTTTGGTTTTGGTTCTTTTTCCAAAAGAACTCCCCCTGGGGCTCTGGCGCGTCCCGCCAGCCACCCGGAAACTGCACAAATCAATGCCTGTTCCGCCCCAAGATGGCCCAAGATGGTCCCAAGACGGCCAAGACGGCCCAGGATGGCCTCCAAGATGCCTCCAAGACAGCCAAGATGGCCTCCAAGACGGCTCAGATGGCCCCAAGATGCATCCAAGACGGCCCAAGATGGCCTCAAGATGGTCTAAGACGGCCCAACAGGCCCGCAAGAGGCTTCCAAGACGGCCCAAGAGGCCTCCAAGAGGCCTCCAAGAGGCCTCCAAGAGGTCCTCCAGGAAGGCCCGACACGGCCAAAATCATTGATTTTCCGTTTGTGTTGAAGGATTTTGTCATTTGCGCCTTTTCGGCACTCCGACGGCCTAAGACGGCCCAAGAGGCTCCCAAGATCGCCCCAAGATCGCCCAAGAGGGCCCCATGACGGCCCAAGATTCCTCCAAGACGGCCCCAAGAGGGCCCCAAGACGGCCTAGGAGGCCCCCAACACCCAAGATGGCCTCCAATACGTCCAAGATGGCCTCCAAGACGGCCCCGAAGCGCCCTAACAGGGCCCCAAGTCGGCCCACGAGGCCTCCAAGAGGGCCTCCAGAAGGCCAGAAGAGGCCCAAAACATGTATTTTCCATAGGTTTTTGAAGGATTCCGACATTTGCTTCTTTTCGGCCTTCCGACGGCCCGAGACGGCCGAAGAGCCCCCAAAGATCGCCCAAGAGGCTTCCAAGATGGCCCCAGAACGGCCCAAGAGGCCCCCAAGACGGCCCCAAGACGCCCCCAAGACGGCCCAGGAGGCGTTGAAGACGCCCAAAATGGCTTCCAAGACTGCCCTGGAGCACCCCAAGAGGGCCCCACGTCGGCCCAGAGAGTCCCCCCAAACGGCTTCCGACGGCGTCAGACAGACCAGGAGCCCACCAAGACGGCCGAACATGGCCCTAAGATGGCCCAAGACGGCCCAAAAGGCCTCCGAGAGGGCCTCCAGGAAGGCACGAAGAGGCCCAAAACATGCATTTTCCATAGATTTTAGCATTTGCTGTGTTTCGGCCTTCCGACGGCCCGAGACGGCCCAAGTGCCTCCAAAGATCGCCCAAGAGGCCCAAGACGGCCCCAAGAAGCCCCCAAGACGGCCCAAGAGGCCTCCCAGACGCTCAAGATGGCCTCTAAGACGGCCCCAGAGCCCTCCAAGACGTCCTCCAAGAAGGCCCGACATGATCAAAATGGCCTCCAGACGGCCAAGAAGACCTTCAAGATGCCCACGTGTTCCCCGAAGGCTTTCCAAACCGATTCGGAGACCACATGGTCCGATAGCTTGGCAGGTCTGGCCTCAACGTTCGGCCACATAGGCGCTTCCAAAAAGGCAGGCGGCGGCGGTGATTCGCCGTAGGCGTCTTCGATCCACCGCCCCCTGTCGATTCATCGCAAGGGTGCCTGGCGTGCCGAATGATATGGTTGTGGTTCTTTTTCCGAAAGAACTCCCCCTGGGGCTTCGGCCCGTCCCGCTGGCCACCCGGAAAGGCGCTCAATCCGGAAACAATTCCTCCAAGATGGCTCACGATGGCGCCAAGATGGCCACGTTGGCCCAAGATAGCCTCCAATATGGTCCAACATGACCCTCAAGATGCCTCCAAAATGGCCACGATGGCCTCCAAGACGGCTCAGATGGCCCCAAGATGCCTCCAAGACGGCCCAAGATGGCCTCAAAACGGCCCGCAAGAGGCCTCCAAGATGGCCCAGAGGATTCCAAGAAGTCCTCCAGGAAGGCTCGAAGATGCCAACATCATTGATTTTCCATAGGTTTTTGAAGGATTTTGGCATTTGCGCCTTTTCGGCTTTCCGACGGCCCGAGACAGCCCAAGAGGCCCCCAAGTTCGCCCCAAGATCGCCCAAGAGGCCTCCAAGATGGCCCCGTGACGGCCCAAGGGACCCCACGACGGTCCCAAGAGGGCACCCAGACGGCCCAAGAGGCCTCCAGGACGCCTAAGATGGGTTCCATGATGGCCAATAGCCCTTCAAGATGCCCACGTGTTCCCCGAAAGCTTTCCAAACCGATTCGGGGAACACATGGTCCGATAGCTTGGCAGGTCTGGCCTCGGCCACATGGGCGCTTCCAAAAAGGCAGGGGGCGGCGGTGATTCGCCGTAGGCGTCTTCGATCGGCGGTGAGGGGGTGAGATCGCAGTGGAACGGAGAACCCCCCACCGGGAAATCGGTACCGGCTCCGTGTTCGCGTCGTGCGTGCGGGCGAGGCGACGCTGCGTGGGCGCGCGAGAAGAATGACGCCGCCGCGGCTCGGGGCCGTGGGGCTGGTTGTCCGCCCCTCCACCCCCTGACGCGCGGCGGCCGGGGTTGTCCCGTCGGTGGCGCGGCGGTGTCCCGTCGGTGGCGCGGCGGTGTCCCGTCGGTGGCGCGGCGGTGTCCCGTCGGTGGCGCGGCGGTGTCCCGTCGGTGGCGCAGGGCGTTCCGTCGGTGGCGCGGCGGGTCGACCGTGAGATCGATTGTGAGATCGACCGTGAGATCTGTAGTGAGATCGATCGTGAGATCAGTTGTGAGATCGATCGCGAGATCTGCTATTTATGGAATTGATGGTGAGATCGCTCGTGAGATCTACAGTGGGACGGATAGTGGGATCGACACTAAGATCGATCGTGAGATCGATTGTGAGATCGATTGCGAGACCGATAGTGAGATCGATGGTGACATAGATGGTGAGATCGATTGTGAGACCGATAGTGAGAACTGTTGTGATATTGATCGTGAGTCCGAACGTGAAATCGTTAGTGGGTTCGATTGTCAGATCGATGATGAGATCGATTGGAAGATCGATCGCGAGATTTGTTGTGAGATTGATCGTGCTATTGCTCGTGAGATCAATCGTGAGTTCGATTGTCACATCGATAAATGAAACCATTTGTGAGATCAATCGTGGAACCTGATGTGATACTGATAGTGGCATCGATCGCGAGATCGCTTGTGAGATCGGTAGTGGGATCTGTTGTGAGATCGAGAGTGCGATCGACGCGAGATCGATTGAACGAATCGCTGGTTCCCCCCCCCCCGAAGCTGCACATCACCCGGAGGGTGGTCGCACAGGTAAACCCATAAGCTTTCGGAGGTCCGCGCTGATCTCCTGGATCTGCGCTGGCCCCCCCCCACCCAGCGCGCGGAGCTCCGACAGTCTGTGGCTATGCTTACAGTCAGCCAGTAAAGCAAGGAGGCGCGATGGGGATGCCAAGGGGCCTCGGGCGCCCATCTCGGAGCTCCTCGAGCGGGGCGTGGCCGGCGGAAGCGGCGGAGGATGCACCGAGGAGGCAGGGCCGTGCAAGGGCACCCTTTGGGAGGGCTGCCCGTCCTGACTGTGCCGGTGGACCGTGTGCCGCTGCTTGTTCCCCTGGCGCCGCGGCACAACGAGCGCGGCCTCGGGCGTCTGGCCCTTCGCGCCCCGCGCCCTCGCGCCGCGCGAGGCGCGGGCCGGAGCAGCAGCAGGGGCGGCACGGCGAGGGGAAGGGCGCAGCGGCCCGTCGGCCCTGGCGAGGGTGCGGGGCCGATGGTGCACCACCACTACCACAGGCCGGAGAGAGGGAGGAGGAGGAGGAGGAGGAGGAGGAGGAGGAGGAGGAGGAGGAGGAGGAGGAGGAGGAGGAGGAGGAGGAGGCTTTTCTGGCAGAGCCTTGCTACAGCCGCCAGCGTGCTGCCACTGGGGACGCACAATGAGGAACGAAGGGGCTCTTCTGGCCACTGCTAGCCTTGGTCACAAATAGGCTGCGCTCCTCCTTTTCCTCCTCCTCCTCCTCCTCCTGGGTCTGGGCCCCAACGTGGCTCTCATTTTCAGCGTCCTGGTTGCGCTTTTGATCCTCCTGTCGCTGCTGCTCCTCGACGCCGTCTTCCTCCTGCGCCCTGATCTCTCTCGGCCTCGAGGCGCCCGAACGGGGCGGGCGGGACGTCGTGCATCGCGTACGCCTGATACTTGAAACAATGTCCGAATAGGTAGACGTACGTGGGCTCCTGCTGGTTGGGCACGTTCACGAGGATCTTCTGCCGGAACATGCCCATGGGCCGGTGGGGCCGGAAAGTGACGGTCACGATCTTCTTCCCGTTCGGCTCCACAACGCCAGCTGCGGGAGACAGGGTGAAAGGCGGAGGGCCAGTGTGGTTGACGTCCGCCTCGGAGTGGAGCAGGAGGAGCAGGAGGAGGAGGAGGAGGAGGAGGAGGAGGAGGAGAAGGAGGAGGAGGAGGAGGAGGAGGACGAGGAGGAGGACCATGAGAAGTCGAGGCATGCCTGGACAATGGTTTGTAAGTCGAACCGCAGCTCGAAGGCGCTCTCGTTCATCACGGTCAGGGTAGCGGTGGTGTAATCCTTCGCCTCCTTGCCTGGGAGGTGGTGTGGGTGAGGATGAGGGGACGGAGCCAGACCCCCGACGTAATGATTCTTTCATCACGTCGACCCGCAGAGGTCCCGACCCTTTCCCCATGACCGGCTTTGCGTCCCGAGTCGTTGTTTGACGCTCCCGGGGCCCGGCGAAGGCCCCTCGGAGGCCGAAAATTAGGAAAAACCTCCCGTCATGTTTTTTCATTACTCTAGGGGTCTGGGAATGTTGATGTTCATGTCGCTTATTTTGTTTCTGCCTCGACCTGGACGGCCAGTCCCTGCTCGAAGCCCAGACCCCCCAACGTCATGACTTTTTCACTGCGTCGGTCCCCAGGGTACTCGCCCCCTTCCCCAGGGCCGGTTTTTCAGCCTGAATCGTTGCTTGACGCTCCCGAGGCCCGGTGAAAGCCCCCGGAGGCCGAAAATTAGGAAAAACCTCCCTTCATGATTTTTTCATTGCTCGAGGGGGTCTGGGGAGCCAGCGCGCCCCCCCCTCAGACAAGACGTCCCAGCTACAGGCAGAGCGCAGCTGCAGGGTTTTCCACGACTGTGCCAGAGGAGTGTGGGACAGCTCCGTGCCTCCAGCCGCTCGCAGCCCAGGGCACCTCGCTCCCCCCCCGTGGGAGGGCGCCACGCCTCGCTTCCGCTCCGCCTGTCCGTTCCTGCGACGCCTTCGTGCTCCCCTGCCCCCCCGCAGAACCCCGACGTCCTGATTTTTGTCGCAACGTCGGCACCCAGAGGTCTCGACCCCTTCCCCGGGACCGGTTCTTCGTTTTTGACTGGTCCCGAGGCCCGGTGAGGGCACCCAGCGGCCGAACGTAGCGTTACGTCGGGCATGTCCCCCTACAGGCTGATTTTGAACGAAAAATGAAAATTGACCGGACGCAGGACCCAACCATTTGCAGGTGCGAGTACCGCAATTGTGATCTACTTTTTCGGTGGTGATCCCTATGAGGCAACGAACCGTGCTAGGGGTGTGCCGAAATGAGTGGCGTGGTACATAACGCGAACGAAAACGATTGATCTGAGTGCGTAGGGAGACTCAGCGCGAGTGAATCTGAGCGCGAGTGCGTCTGACTGTGAATGAATCTGCTCGCGAGCGAGTCTACGTGCGTGAATGTGAGCATGACAAAACATGGCGTAATTGTAAGTGAATGTCAGTAATTTGAGAATGACTGCCTCTGAGTACTCGTGACGCTGGGCGTGGACTCCCTCTTTGCCCGCGCACTCAAAAGTCCAAGGCTGCGGGCGCAGCGCAGCGCGGAGTCCCCGCGACGCGCGCAGGTCGCCCCGGAGGGGTCCCAGCGACGCGCGCGGGTCGTCCGCTGCGCGGAGCAAAGAGAGCTAACTGGCTGGCTGATAGCGGGCAAGGCTCTTGCCGCTGGGCAGAGCGACGACGGGCAAACGAGGCGCTGGGCAGAGCGCAGCACGGAGTCCCCGCGACGCGCGCAGGTCGCCCCGGAGGGGTCCCAGCGACGCGCGCGGGTCGTCCGCTGCGCGGAGCAAAGAGAGCTAGCTGGCTGGCTGATAGCGGGCAAGGCTCTTGCCGCTGGGCAGAGCGACGACGGGCGAGCGAGGCGCTGGGCAGAACGGAGCACGGAGTTCCTGCGACGCGCGCTGGTCGCCCCGAGAGGGTCCCAGCGACGCGCGCGGGTCGTCCGCGGCGCGAGGCCAAACAATTAGTCAGACCGTCGAGAGACGGCGAGGCTCGGGCGGGCCGCTCCTCAGATCAAGCCTCGCGGATAAACACGGTGAAGCCCAGCACCATGGGAACCTTCGGTGGAGTTCCTATAGGGCCACGAAACGTGTGAGGGGTGGGCCGAAATGAATGGCGGGGACGCATGCGGACTGTGCCAGTGGGACCTTCGGCAGAGCTCCTATGGGGCCACGAAGCGTGTGAGGGGTGGGCCGGAATGAGTGGCGGGGACGCTTGCGGACTGTGCCACGGGGACCTTCGGCGGAGCTCCTGTGGGGCCACGAAACGTGTGAGGGGTGGGCCGACATGAATGGCGGGGACGCATGCGGACTGTGCCACTGGGATCTTCGGCGGAGCTCCTATGGGGCCACGAAACGTGTGACGGGTGGGCCGAAATGAATGGCGGGGACGCGTTCGGACTGTGCCACTGGGACCTTCGGCGGAGCCCGTATGGGACCACGAAACGTGTGAGGGGTGTGCCGAAATGAGTGGCGGGCACGCATGCGGACTGTGCCACTGGGACCTTCGGCGGAGCTCCTGTGGGGCCACGAAACGTGTGACGGGTGGGTCGAATTGAATGGCAGGGACGCGTGCGGACTGTGCCACTGGGACCTTCGGCGGAGCCCATATGGGGCCACGAAACGTGTGAGGGGTGGGCCGAAATGAGTGGCGGGGACGCGTGCGGACTGTGCCACTGGGACCGTCGGCGGAGCTCTTATGGGGGCCACGAAACGTGTGACGGGTGTGCCGAAATCAGTGGCGGGGACGCATGCGGACTGTGCCACTGGGACCTTCGGCGGAGCTCCTATGGGGCCACGAAACATGTGAAAGGTGGGCCGAAATGAGTGGCGGGGACGCTTGCGGACTGTGCCACTGGGACCTTCGGCGGAGCTCCTATGGGGCCACGAAGCGTGTGAGGGGTGTGCTGAAATGAATGGCGGGGACGCGTGCGGACTGTGCCACTGGGACCTTCGGCGGAGCCCCTACTGGGGCCACGAAGCGCTGTACTGGGTGGGGGAGACGCACGCGGACTGCGCCACGGGGACCTTTGGTGGCGCTCCCCGTGGGGCCACGAAGCGCTGTACTTGGGGGGGGGAGACGCATGCCAACCGCGCCATTGGGACCTTCGGTGGGGCTGCCTATGGGGCAACGAAACGTGTGATGATGTTGATGGTGCTGGTGTTGATGATGATGACGACGATGACGACGATGGTGACGGTGACGGTGACGGTGATGATGATGATGATGATGCTGATGATGATGATGATGATGATGATGATGATGATGATGATGATGACAATAATAATAATACTAATAGTAATAATAATAATCATAATAATAATGATGATGATGATGATGATGATCATGATCATGATCATGATGATGATGATGATGATGATGATGATGATGATGATGATGATGATGAAAGGAGGGGAAGAGGGAGGAGGAAGGAGGAGGAACGCGGGGCGACATCTCTTCAAAACGAGGACCCAACACCACAGGATGGTTGGGAAATACCCCCAAAATGCCACACAAATGTTCAAACATGGTTCCAAACATCCTCCCCAGACCTATTTTTGAATCTTCCCCCTGTAGAGGGACAGGCCCGACTTAAAAATAGCGAAAACCCGCCCGTCCGGACTTTTTCGCAGCGCCAGGGGGTCTGGGACCCTCTGCGTGTGCCGCATGCGGGGTGCCCTGCCTTGCCTTGTTGCTGTCCGTGGGCCTGTGTCGGGGGCGCGCAGATATGGATTAGCGGTCGATGGAGTTGGCGCGCGGTCGCCAAATCCATGGATCGGGGGAGGTGCCCTCCCCAAAAGTGCGGCCGGTGCCGCCTCGCTCGGCGGCGGAAGTCCGCGATTTCCCACGGCAGCGGGACCCGTCGCTAATCCACGGCCCCCTGAATCCATGTTTGCGATCGCCTGACTGTGGCACCCAGGCAGCCCCCGCGCCTCGCCCTCGACTGCCCCCATGGCCGTGGCGCACGGGTGCCGTCGGCTCTTGTCTTAGGTCGGGCATGTCCCCTCCCCCTACAGGGGGATTTTGGGCGAAAAATTGAACATACCCCAAAACATCATAAATGTTATATATATATGTGAATATATATATATATGTATACATGTATATATGTATATATGTATATATATATATATATATATATATATAGTATCGTCCCCAGACTATTTTGTGATCATTTTGGAATATTCCTCCCGTGGAAGGGGCACGCCCGACTTAAAACTCTTGTCGCGGCCCGCGGGCCCCCTCGCGCCCCCCCGGCGGCCGGTGCCGCGCCGTGCCTCGGGCGCGTCCTGCGCTCGGAGGCGCGGCCTGCCCAGACCCCCCGCGCGCGGTGAGAAAGATCGCGGCGGGGAGTTTTTCGCGATTTTCGGCCTCCAGGGCCCTTTTTAATCGGGTCGGGCGAAAGGGGGGGATTGGGAAAGGGGGGGTTACGAAATTTGCTGCATGCAGCTGGTTTCGGCCTCACCGAAGGGCCAATTCCTCGATACATGGGAGGCGCCGGGAAAATCAGCTACATGAGCTGATTCTCAAACCCCCCCTTTGCTATCCCCCCTTTCGCCCGACCCGATTTAACCAGCCTCGAACTTATCCCTATCCCTAAGATTGACACGCCCAAAGGCGATGACAACCTTAGGGATTCCCCCCCAGAGACTGAGGGAGTCCCTAAGATCACCATCGTGACGAGGCGATGCCCAACATAGGGATAGGGATAGGTTGCAGGCTGCTAACTTTTGGCGGCGCGCACAGGGGGGTGGAAGGAGGGGGGAGGGCGTCTTAGAAGGAGGCTGCTTCTCAAAGGCGCCGGCCTTTCGTGTTCAGACGAGGCCCGCGCCTCCCGAGAAGCAGGGGTGCTCCCCGCCTCCCCCCCACCCCCCTCTGCGCGTGGCTGACCCTTGCGGGGCCTCGGGGCCGTCAAGAAATGACCCAGGAGGAGAAGCCGGTCCCGGAGAAGGGGTCCAGACCTCTGGGGATGGACGTTGCGAAAGAACCACGGCGTCGGGGGCCTGGGTGTGGCCCCCTGCGTGGCCAGCTCGCCCGTCCCCCGCGGTGGGCGCTGCACCTTGCCTCTGCCCGCCCGTGGCCTCTGTCAGTGGCCCCCTTCGCCGGGAGGCTGGAGACACGCGTTTTTTTTGCTCCCCCCCGCCAGGCGTGGCGGCACTGCGGCCGCGAGAGCTGACGCGGGAGGCACACCCGGCACCGTGGACGAAAGGCGAGCGGTGAGCCCGGCCCGCCGTGCAGGGAGCTTCTCGGAGCCCACCGCCCGGGAACCGACGTCCTGGTGAACCAGCGGGCGGTGGAGACGGACATGTTTTGGGGCCCGACTGTATCCACTTTCCCCCGCCCGTGGAGGTCCACGAGGATCGGTCCCCCGGCCGCCTCGGCACAGTGGATAATGTCTGCAGGCGCGCGCTTTTGACCTCGCGGTGCGGCAGAGGCGATCCGCTCGCGCGTCCGAGCGACCTGGGCTTCGGCATGACGAGTTGTCCCGCATGCAAGAGGAGGGGGTTGGAGGCCCGGAAATGGGCACCAACACCCACACAGGGGTTTGCCTCCACAGTCGGACAGTGATCCTAGATTTCGGTGTCGGTGGTGATATTTCGGTCACCTTGGAAGCCAGAATCTTACCACCGTCACCGAGATCGGCATCCTCGTCCCTCGGTGGAGGCACCGCCGATGTTGGTGTTGGTGTCAACCTCTAGGCCTGTCAGGGGGTGGGAGAGAAGAGAGCCGGCCGCGGAGCGATCCGAGCGACCTGGGCTACGGCATGACGAGTTGTCCCGCATGCAAGAGGAGGGGGGGGGGGAAAGAAGAGATAAAGGGGCCCTGGGACACACACACACACATAAATACACACAAATAGAAGGATTCCCCATGTGTTTCTATATTTTTTGGATCTTCGTCTTCCCCCCCACTTCCCATATGTTCCGATATTTTCCTGGGGATCGATTTTTCCCTCCTGAAGAGAGCCGGCCGCGGAGACAGGAGGTGGGACAAAAAGGCACACAGGGGCGGCCGGGTGCACCTGCCCATCCTGTACGGAGGCCACCCGCTGCAGGCACGCGCGGAGGGCCAGCGCGCTCCGCCGCACGGGCGCCGAGCACTCCAACGACGCGCGGCCGCGCGCGTGCCCGGCTCCCCTGTCGTATAGCTCGGGCCTCTCGCCGTCTCTCGGACGTCCATTCCCTGTGCATTTTTTCGGCTTCGTGCGTGGCTTTCTCGCCAAAGGATCAAGGATGCTCCTCGATGGCCCTCGCCGAGAAAAAAACGCACACGTCCGAGCGATGCCAAGGGGTCTCCGGCGGCCCTGCGGGACGCTCCGGGCACCCCTGGGCCGCGCTCGGTGAGGCGCCGCCGCCGGACCTCTTCCCCCGAGGGCGGACGAGCGCCAAGGAACGGCGAACACGCTCGAAGCGTCTCGCACCTCCAGGTCCCCCCCCGCCCCCTCCTCGCCGCCTTCTCCTCTCGCCCCCCGGTGCTCCCAGCGCCGTGCACGGCCGGCAGCTCCTCCTCTTCCTCCTCCTCCTCCTCCTCCTCCTCCTCCTCCTCCTCCTCCCTCCTCCTCCTCCTCCTCCCTCCTCCTTTCCAGCGTGTCGCGGCGGCGGCCCCGGCGACACGCCGAGCACGGCGGCCGGGGGGCCGGGCGCGCCGCACCTCCGCTCCGCGAGGAGCGGCTGGGCGGGGGCAGCGCTCGGCCCGTCGGCGCCTCGTGCGCGGATTGGCGTGGCGCGCCGAGGAGGAGGAGGAAGGAGGGAGGAAAGGAGGAGGGGGAGGAGGAGGAGGAGGAGGAGGAGGATGAGGAGGAGGAGGAGGAGGAGGAGGAGGAGGAGGAGGAGGAGGAGGAGGAGGAGGAGGAGGAGGAGGAGGAGGAGGAGGAGGGAGGAGGAGGAGGAGGAGGAGGAGGAGGAGGAGGAGGAGGAGGAGGAGGAGGAGGAGGAGGAGGAGGAGGAGGAGGAAAAGGAGGAGGAGGAGGAGGAGGAGGAGGAGGAGGAGGAGGAGGAGGAGGAGGAGGAGGGAGGAGGAGGAGGAGGAGGAGGAGGAGGAGGAGGAGGAGGAGGATGAGGAGGAGGAGGGAGGAGGAGGAGGAGGAGGAGGAGGGAGGGAGGGGGAGGAGAGCCTGGTGGGCCCGAGCCGGCGGCGCGACACGCTGCAGCAGGGGCCCGACGACAGGAAGCCGTCGACAGGAAGCCCAGCCCTGAGACCCCGGGACGTGCTCGACTTTTGGTGTGGGAGGTGAATTTCGTGCGGATCTTGTTGGCCAGGGATGAAGACCAAAAAGAACCCATGCGAAATTCCCTGCGTCTTTCGCTCGCCGCTTCGGGCAAGAATTCGCGTAGACATCCGCGCAGAAGTCCGCTACGGCACGCCTGCGAGGCCGGTGCAGTGATACTTGCGGGCATTCGCGCCTGATCTCCAGGCTCCAGATCACCAGTCTCGACCGTATCCCTATCCCTAAGATTGACACGCCCAAAGGCGATGACAATCTTAGGGATCCGCCCTCGAAAGATGAGGGAATCCCTAAGATCGGCATCGAGACGAGGAGGTGCCCAGCCTATAGGGATAGGGATATGTTCCAGGCTGGTCAGGAGCGCCACGCCTCCCACAGCAGACCCCATCGGAGCCCAAGAGGCCCAGGGCACCCCGGAGGCGAGCAGGGCCTCTTGGCGCATGCGTCTGGCCGTGCGCCCCCTGCGTAGGGTTGAAGAGCATTCTGCGCTCGGACGCCGGACCTCGCTCCAGGCGTTTTCCGAAGCAGCGGTCCAGGTCCACATCTACGAGGGTGCCACGAAAAAACACAAAGAAGCTCCCAGAGAATGTTCAGGACTCGGCCCAGGTTCTTGGCCCTCTTGCGCGAGATCTGGAGCCCACGGAGGCGTTGCTGCATTCTCGACAGAGATCTCGGATGGCCGCAAGGTCGGGCCTAGTCCAGAAGAGCATCCCTCGAGAACGTGGGACTCTCCGTCGGCCAAAATAAGCAGAACATCCAAAGGTATCCTCCTCAGGATGCACAAGACCATCCAACAAACACGAAGAACTTCGGAGAAACGCTGACGGCCCCCCAAACGTAGACCCGCGAGAAGGGCCTCAAAATGTAGACCCAGGCAAGGGGGCTCAGATGTAGACCCCGACCAAATGAACCCTGCGATGTCGACCCTTGCCAGACCCAAGCACCCTAAACTGTAGACCCCGACCTTAAGGACCTTGAAATGTAGACCTCGCGCGAAGGGCGAAGGTCTTCTTCTGGTGGTGCGTCGGGCAGGTTGACATTTCAAGGGCCGCTTGTTTTTCCCGGGGTGCCCACCCCGAACCGACCTCGATCTTATACCTCGGTCCGACTGTGCAAGGTCTCTCTGCACGGCCTTGGTCTTGCATCTGGCGCCAATGTGTGCTCTTCCTTGAGCTGGGACCTACCCTCACGGCATTCCTATAGGCCTACCACGAGATGGTCTTAAAACACAGAAATGCTCTAACAACAAGAACCATGTGCTTGGAACATAAACCCGATGTGCTAAACCTAGACAGTCCAAACCAGAAGTGTTCCAAGCCGATTTCGTGCAGACCACACAAGGTTCTTAGAACATTCTTTGTTGTCCTATAGGCAGGTCGAGAGGTTGACACCAACACCAATATCGGCGGTGTGCCTCCACCGAGGGAAGGAGATCCCGATCTCGGCGACGGTGGTAATACTCTGGCTTCCAAGGTGACCGAAATATTGCCACCAGCACCGCAATCTAGAATCGTCTCTCCCTTGTGGAGGCAACCCCCCCTGTGCGGGTGTTGGTGCCCATTTCTGGGCCTCCAGCTATAGGCAAGCCAAGACGCTTCGCCGCTGCTTGACTCCCCCGCTGCCGTAGACGACGGCGCCCAGGTGCAGCAGCCCGTCCGCGGGCTCTATCCGCAGCACCGGCCGCACGCCGCGGCCTCGCAGGGGCACCTGCACCCGGCTGTTCTGGGTGCGCAGCCTGAGGACAGTCTCGTAGTCCTGCGCTGGACAAGAGCAAGACGAAGCCAGGACAGGGACAACACGAGGTCGGGCATGTCCCCCCACAGGGGGATTTCGAGCGAACGATTCTCCCAGTGCGGCCCGACCTAGGAGTTGGAGCATTTCGGAAAGCAACATCTACATCTAAACCCACAGCTACATTTACATCTACACCTGCATCTACATCTACATCACCATCAACAGCGAGACTCACATCTACATCTACATCTACGCCTACATCTACACCTACATCTACATCTACATCAACACCTACACCTACATCCAAATCTACACCTACACCTACATCTACATATACATATACATGTTATGCTGTGCTATGCTGTGCTATGCTATGCTATGCTGTGCTATGCAGTTTTATGCTGCGCTGTGCTATGCTAAGCAATGCTATACTATGCTATGCTATGCTCGAAACTATGCTATGCTATGCTATGCTGCGCTCTGCTGCGCTATGCTATGCTATACTATGCTATGTTGAGCTATGCTATGCTATGCTATGCGTGGCTATGCTATGCTATGCTGTGCTAATGCTGCGCTGCGCTAAGCTAAGCTAAGTTAAGGTAAACTCAGCTAAGCTAAGCTAAACTAAGCTAGGCTAGGCTGAGCTGAGCTGAGCTAAGCTAAGCTCAGCTAAACTAAGATGAGAGACGTTAAGCTAAGCTAAGCTAAGCTAGGCTAGGGAAAGCTAAGCTAAGCTAAGCTAGGCTAAGCTAAGACAAGATGAGATAAGCTAAGCTAAGCTAAGCTAAGCTGGGTAAACCCAGGGGGCGCAACTGGGGGAACCGCGGGGCGGATGCCGGGGGAACCGCCCGGGGCGTGGTCCACTGCCCGGCCCTTTAAGCTTATACAGTAAGAACCCTTCTAGGCAGAGCCTAGGTCGGGAATTAAGAATACCCCCAAAATACACCACAATAGCAACAACATGCAAAACAATGGTCCGAAGACAATTGTTTGACTTTCCTCCTGTCGAGGGACAGACCCGACTTAAGGATAACAACGGGGAGGATAACTCGAGAATCTCTGAGGTCTCGCGGCTTTGGAAGATGCCTCGGGCACCGCGGCCTTCTCAGAGCCTTCCGGAACGCTCTGAGAGCGTTCCGGAACGCTCTGGAACGGAGCCCCGCCCCCGATGGTGCTTCGGGCTGTGCACCATACAGGGTCTCCAGGTGGTCCTGGCTGGCCTCAACGGGCCTCCCGAGCAGCCAGGGGAGCCGTCGCAGGACCCCGGCACGCGCCCCCGGGGGCGCTCCTCGCCGCGGGGCTGGGGTGTCGAGTCCGCCCCAGGCTGCTCGTGGCGCCCGTTGAGGCCCGCCAGGGCTGCCTGGGGGGGGGGGCTGCCTGAGCGCAGCCCGAGGCCTTGCCATCCTGCACGCTGCTGGGCCTGAACTCCACCATCAGGCGGAACGGCCTCGCGCCGACGGGGCGTGGCGCGTTGAGCACGGTGAAGCACTGGTTCTCCGGGAGGGGCTCCACGTGCAGGTCCTGGGGCTCCTCGGGGACCTCGTTCTCCAGCTCGAGGGCGAGCACCGCGCGCTCCTGCGCGGTGACGTCCCCGAAGTCCAGCACGTCCCTGTCTGCCACGAGGGCGTCAGGCAGCACGCACGTGGACATCCCGAAGTAGACGGCAGGGTCCCTCTTCTTGCCCTTGCCTTTCTGCGGCGAGGCCGGCGGCGAGGCTGGCTCGTCCTCCGCCTTGCCCGGGCGGAGCGACTTGATGTAGATGGGCACCCTCCAGGAGGCGTGCACCGTGCGGCTCTCGGGCACCTCCCAGCGGCGCCCGCCGTTCACGCGGATGCTCTGGATGGTGATGGGCCTGTTTTCCACCACCACCACCACCGTAAGTTGAAGGGGGGAAGGAGGTGGAGGACGAGGAGGAGGAGGACGAGGAGGAGGAGGAGGAGGAGGACGAAAAGAAGGAGGAGGACGAGGAGGAGGAGGAGGAGGACGAGGAGGAGGAGGAGGACCCCCTCGCCCTCCGACTTATGGTGGTGGTGGTGGTGGAAAGTAGGTCCATCAGATGGTCTGCTTGCGGAGCTCCTCCGCCGATGGCGGCGGCGTCTTGGGCTTCTCCTCCTCCGCGGGCGGCGGTGGCTCCGGGGGCGGCGCGGCGGCCGCCTTGCCCTTGGCCTTGGCCTTGGCCTTGGCCTTGGGGTCGGGGGCCGGCGGCTCGGGCTCGGGTGGCGGCGGCTCGGCCGCCGCCGCGGCCTCGGCCTCGGCCGCCGCGGCCGCGGCCGCGGCCTCGCCATCGAGGAGCTGCGTGTACGCCTCGGTCGGCGAGAACTGGAGGAGGAGCCGGCGGGACTCGTTCTGCTCCAGCATGTAGCAGATGGGGCCGCCGTGCAGGGCGCTGAGCTCCTTCGGAGGCAGCACCACGTTGATCATGCACGGCCATCTCGACACGTTGGTGACGGTGATGGACTCGCTCGCCACCGTGCCACAGGGGATCGACGCCATGTCGACCTGAGTGTGGGACAGCTTGACCAGTGGCGCGACGCCTTGGCCCTTGCACAGAACAGAGAAATCGCGCACGCACTGTCCCCCAGTGATGACCTTGCAGGCCATCGAGTGCGCCATCTCCACGGCCGCCTCCGGAGCATACGTGACGACGAACTCCCGCCTCTCCCCTGCGAGCAGTCTGCCGTACCACGCCTCTGGCCCGCCCTCCATGACCGCAGAGCCCTGGCCGACCATCTTCTCGCTCTCCTCCTCGCGCACGTCGTCTGGCACCTCGTGCACCGAAAGGAAGCTCGGCAGCCGCGCGAAGGCGTACTTCTGGGGCAGCAGGCAGGGGTTCACGATCGTCAGCCTGCTGGACACGGCGGACCCGACGGCGCACTTGTCGAAGTTCAGCTTCGAGGGCTCGAAATAGATCATGTTCTGCGTCAACGTTCCGACTATCGCGGCGTTCGCGGGGAGCACTTGGTCGGCGCCGCAGGCCTTCAAAGGTATCCTGAAGGCCCCAGAATCATCAGGCCGCTTCGGGTCCCGGAACTCGGGGTGCCTCGCCAGGAAGTCCTCCCTGGGGCTGAACTTCACCGCCAGTACCTGGTCCGAGTTGCCCTGCACGTACGCGGTGGTCGGGCTGATCTGCAGCTCCCCGGGGATCTCCTTAGGCTTGATTATGTCCACCCGCATGGTGTCCTTCCTGCGGTTCCTCAGCACCACGTTCTCGCGGTAGATCGTGCCATATATACAAATCTTGAGGTCCATCTCCTCCTCGGGGAAGTATATTGGCACGTCCACGCAGGAGCCGTCGATGACGATCATCATGTCCTGTTCGAAGGCCGCGTCGCCGTCCGCGCCATTCTTTACGGAGAGGAGCATCCTGGTTGGTTACCCGTTTCTGGATATGGAAGCAGGCTGCCGAAGCAGAGAAGTTCAGGCAGAAGATGCGATCGGCAAGTTTTGCTTAGCGTGTCGCAGCGGCGTCCTGGCCATCGCTCGGACGTCCATTTTCTGTGTTTTTTTCGGTTACGTGCGTGGTTTTTTCGCGAAATGATCAAGGATGCTCCTCGATGGTCCTCGCCGAAGGAAAAATGCACACGTCCGAGCGATGCCAAGCGTCCCTAGCGACACGCTGCGCCCTGCGAGCTGATATCGTGTCGCTCCGCTTCGCCGGGCGGGAGGCTGGGCAAGGCTCGGAACGTTGATGCTTGGATAAGGGGCAGTGGTTAGCGTGTGGAGCCGCAGCGTTTGTGGGCCAGCACCGGCGGCGCGACACGCTAAGCAGATGCCCCCGAACGGAAGGAGGCGGAGTGGAGGCTGAGGCGAAGAAGCGGAGGCAGGTGCATCCTGGTCGAGTAGTCCCCGACGAAGTCAATGGAGGGCGAGAAGGTGAAAGAGATGCTCGTCGTGGCGTCCGACAAGAACTCCCCCTTGGACGGCGTCCAGGATAGCTTCTCCAGGAACCTGCTCTCAGGACTCATGACGGACATTTCGAAGGTTGGGGCGAGGGCGCCGAGGTTGCGCACGCGGAGCTTCTTGGTGCTGGACTCGCCCGCGAGTACCTGCCCAAAGTTGATGTAGCCGTTGGCATCCTCGTCGAAGCCCTGCGGGGTGACCGACAGAACAGTCTTCTTGGTGACACACCTCAGCGGGAAGTCGATGCGGCCCGTCTCGGCCAAAATGGGGAACGTTGTGCTGATGTCTTTGCTGAACTTCGGGGCAAACCACAGTGTGATGTAGCAGGTGACGCCGGCAGACATCCGCCCAGGGGGCACGAACTCCACGTCGAAGAAGTCCTTGATGCTGTCCTCCAGGGGCAGCAGCTTGAACTGATTGAATGTCAAGGACACGTTCGTGACCTGAATGACCTGGTGATACCGCTTCCCAACCTCGAAATCCTTAAACTCGATGATGCTGGGCGACGCCAGGAATCCCGGACCAGAGAACTCCTTCCCGCAACATCGCTGCACGCTCGTGACGTTCTGCTTTTGCCTCTCATGCCAGGTTACTGCTGCAACCGGCGAAACAGCGCCGCCGCCCACCCCTACGCTTCCTCCCTCGTTACCCGCAGGGGGAGCAGGGGGAAGGAAGGGTTAGAGGGATTGGGTTGATGGGAGCATCGAGGTTTTACCAGCTTCCTTCATTCTCTCTCTCTCTCTCTCTCTCCCTCTCTCTGCATCTACGTGCACGTAGGCATATCGACTTATGTATATATAGATATATAGGTGGATAATGCTACGTTAGTCAGCGTGGGCCCCAAACAGTGTTTATAGCGATATTTGAAGTGCTTTCTAAGCAACCTCTGTGGTGCACTCTATGTGGAACAACATGGGTGGTGCGACACATGTGGTGCTATCGATGCGGGGCAATCTATGTGGTGCACTCTAGTTGGGGTAGTTCATGTTAGGCAACCCGTGCTGTGACATCTACGATTTGCAGTCTGTGTTGCGCAATATCTGTTGTGCTGTCTGATGCCGTGCAATCTACGTGGTGCATTCTGCGTGGTGCAATCTATTTGGTGATATCTCTGTGGTGCAACATCTGTGGTGCAATTTATGCTGTGCAATCTGGATTACGCCAACGATGTGGTGAAGTCTATGCTGTGCAGCGTATGTAGTGCGATATAGGTTGTGCACTCTATGTGGAGCAACGTATTGTGTGCAATATCAGTGGTGCAAGCAAGTTGTACAATATTTTTTTATATATATATGATGCAATCGATGTATGTATGTATGCATGTATGTATGTATGTATATATGTATGTCTGTCTGTCTGTCTGTCTGTCTGTCTGTCTGTATGTATGTATGTATGTATGTATGTATATGTGTATGTATGTGTGTCTGTCTGTCTGTCCGTTTGTCTGTCTGTTTGTCTGTCTGTCTGTAAATATGTATTGTATGGTTCAATCTATGTGGTGTGCAATTGATGTGGGCGGCGGCGAGACGGCAACGGGGCGGCGACGTCGGCAACATAGCCGCCAGACCGCAACACCGGCCCAGACGACAGGCTGCGACGAGGCGGCGACGGGGTGGCGACGGCGACAACATAGCGCCAGACCGCCACACCAGCCTAGTTCCGTAGAAGAGAAATAAGAAAACCTAGGGCAAACACTGTTTGAATCATCCAAGTGTATATGTATATGTAAATGTATGAACACATGCGTGCGCACATACACAAGCACATATCCACATACATGTACATGTTTGCATGTACGTGTACATCTACATACACATACAGCATGATTGTCGTCGTCGTCGCTGCCGCCGCCGTCGTCGTCGTCGTCACCGTCGTCGTCATAAGGGGATGGTACGGAGGAGGGAGGGATGGGAAGGGGGAAGGGAGGACGACAATGGATGGAGGAGGAATGAGGACGAAGGAGCCGGGGCCGGGGGAAGAGGCGGAGGAGGAGGAGGACAGGAGCAGGAGGAGGAGGATGAGGAGGAACCGGAGGAGGAGGAGGAGGAGGAGGATGAGGCGAAGGAGGAGGAGGAGGAGGAGACGGAGGAGGAGGAGGAGGAGGAGGACGGGGAGGAGGAACAGGAGGAGGAGGGTGAGGAGGAAAAGGTGGGGAGCGCTGGATTTGTGGCAGCAGCGTGGGTCTGGACCACACCCACCGTGCACATACCAGGCCACGGTACCCTCCGCCGCGCGTGCCGGCGCGCGGAAGCGTGCATCGAGCCGGTCTGGCACGGCGGGTTCGTGTCGTGATGGCCCCCAGGCGCTTTTTGAAGTCAGCGGCGCGGAGGGCCCCCAATGACTACCTACCAGACCACCCCAACCCAACCCGAAGACCCGAATTTCGGGTTGGGGGGGGTAAGGGTTCCACGTGTGTTTTTTCGATGTTTCCCGAACCCCCCCCACTAGAAATCGAGGGTAAATCTGAGCCTTCGGGTTGGGTTGGGGTGGTTTGGTGGGTGGTGACTCAAGCGCGGGCAGCAGCTGGAAGTGCTAATTGCGATCGAGCGCAGTCGAAAGCACAGTGAACGAGACGTCAAGCACTGGAGTGCAAACCATGGGTGATGGACCAGAGTGCCTGCAGACCCCAGCGTTAGTCTCTGACACCGCGCGGGTCCTTCAGCCTTGAACGATCGGCGGCGTTTCGATCGCCAGATCGTTCCACACGCGGATTCAGGGCCAATGCCGGCGTTCAACCTTGATCGCCCACGCTGGGGTCGCCGCCGCGTGGATACGACACGAACCTGCCGTAACATTGTTCGGCGGCGAGCCTGGGGGGAAGTGAGAAGGGGCGGGCCTTCTCAGGAGGCTCGGAAGCGCCCCAGCCCTCTGAGAAACCCCAGCGCCGCCCTCTGAGAAGGCCTTCTCCTTCCCATTTCCCCCCCTCCCTCGCCGCCGAATGGTAAGCGTCGTGCCCAGACCCCCGACGTCATGATTTTTTCGCAACGTCGACCCCAAACGTCTCGATCCATTCCCCAGGACTGGTCTCTCATCCTGACTCCTTGTTTGACACTCCCGAATCCCAGCCAGGGCTCGCAGAGGCCGAAACTCGCGAGAACCTGCCGTCGTGATTTTTGCACGAAGGGGTCTGGGCGCAGATGGGGAAACCCAAAGATACCGATACCGCGACTCCCTGGATCTTTCCTGGGGTGCGTTTCGACCAGGATTTCGAGGGAATCCAGCGGTGGCGGCGAGGGCCTCCGAAGAGGCTCAACAGGGGGAAAACGGGCGAGGGGGTAGCGGTATGGGTACCTTTTCCTCCTCTGAGCAGAGGGTCCGAAGGCCTCTCCCGTGCGGCCGCGAGGTATTGCTGCTCGAGCTTCGTGAGCTCGGGCACCCACAGCTTGCCCGATTCCTGCTGCTCCTGTGCCCTGAGGGCAGCCCGGCCCTGGCCCACCTCATCTTGGTCGACCACCTCGGCGAGGAAAACGATACGGTGAGGGCACTGGATGAGGACAGCGACCGAGGACGACGAGGAGGAGAGACGGAGGAGGAGGAGGAGGAGGAGGAGGAGGAAAACGGAGGAGGAGGAGGATAGCGATACAATGAACGCACTGGATAAGGAAAGCGACCGAGGACAACGACGCTGAAAACGCGTTGGCGTTCATAGAACGAACAGCGCAACGAAGCCGAACGCTCAAGACGAACGTTCAGAGCGAAACCAATGCCAAACGAAAGCAGCATCATAACAAAGCAAAAGGGGACCACAGCGAACAACGGGACGACAAACAAAGCAGGGGCACGAACCGAGCTGAACAACGGTGTGCTCGCTCCCTGGACGAGGAACCCTTGGATAAGGAATCCAGGATCTGCGAGCTGGCGGACATCCAATTGTGGCTTGACCACGGACATAACACCAACGAGAAATCCCCAATCAGTGGATGGCTTGATCGATAAGGAGCTCGAACGGGAACCCGGGAATTCGTAACCCACCGAACTCGGCCCGGAACCATCAACCAGGAAGCCGGGAGCCCAGAACCGGGAACCCGGAACCCCGCCGGCCACGAACATCGGCGGGACACGTTCGCCAAGTCTTTCAAGTACCGCTAGGATTAGGTCCCCTTGCAAGCGGATTTTGGACGACAAATAATTACACCTGGGAAAACCCAATCAGTTGATGATTTGAAACTTGCTACTGTGGATCTTGAGATCGATTGTGAGATCGATAATGAGATCGATAGTGAGGACGATTGTAATCGATTGTGAGACCGAGAGTGAAATCGATTAAATGAGATCGATAATGAGATCGATCTCGAGATCGCTCATGCGATCTTCAATGAGATCGATGGTGAGATCGATCGAGAAATCGGTAATGAGATCGATGGTGAGACCGATCGATAAGAAGATCGACCAAGAACCCGGTAACCGGGTAATCACGCCGCCCTCCGCAATCGGCCCGGAACCCAGAACCAGGAACCCGGGAACCCGGAACCGGGAACCCGGGAACCCAGCCTGCCACCAAAATCGGCGGGGAACTTTCGCCAAATCCTTCAACTTCCGCTAGTACCCCCTCAGTGCAAGCACTGATTCGGGAAAAATAACAAAAAATGCGCAACAAAACACACATTTTCCTTCTGTAGAGGGACAGGCCCGACTCAACGCTAGGACCCCTTCAGTGCAAGCGCTGATTGGGGAATCACCGCCGCCCTCATCAGGCAAGGATTCGTCCAGGGTCGGGAGCCTCCTGGGCACATTCTCGGGTGTTGCTAGCAGTGCCCCTGGCCCAAGGTGCCCCCAGGATTTCCAAGGAGGCCCCCACGGCCTCCAGAGCACCCCTCACGAGGCCCAGAAAGCCCCAGGGGCTTCAAAATTGAGCGAAAAGCTGTGGGCACCTTGGGCCAGGGGTACCTTTAGCAACCCCCGACATTCCTTTACGAACGCCCCCGCCGTAACAGAAACATAAACGCAGCATAAACATAAACTTGATGAAAGCCCGCGTGGACTGCTTGGACCCCCTTCCCTGGCGCGCGAAGCACACTAGGGGGCGGCGCCTGAGGTGCCGCCAGGGGGGGGCCCAGCGCCGTTCCAGGAGAACCCGAACGGAGCCCCGAAAGATTTCATGTTTGTGCAGATCTGAGAGCGTTCCCGAACGCTCTGGAACGGATTTGTCCTCGTCCTAGCCCCGTCGTCCGATCACGACCCTAGCCCACTCGGGTCATGAAAAATGACGACGGCACAATTGTTGCTCTTCTCGGCCTCTGGGAGACCATGAAAAAGCAACTCTGGAGGAAAAATCGGTCCCGGGGAATGGGTCGAAACCTCTGGAGGGCAACGCTGTGACAAAACTACGACGTCGGGGGTCTGGGGCCACAACCCTGGACCCATCGTTTTGCAACAATTTTCGATCCGGGCTGATCTGTGATGGCCCAAGGGCCCGGAAATAGAAGAACAACAAACGGCATACACATAAACTTGTGGCGCTCCGCGCGGATTTCTTGGAACTGCGCCGGCCCCCCTTCTTTCGCGCGCGGAGCGCGCCAAGGGGCGGCGCTGGAGGCGCCGTCGGGGGGGCCCAGCGCGGATCCAAGAAATCCGCGCGGAGCGCCAAAAGTTTATGTTTATGCAGTTTTTTCTCCTTCGATTTCCAAAAGCCAGTGAAGAAGCCCGTGGCGAAACAAATCTACAGCGTTAGGTCGGGCATGGCCCCTACAACCAGATTTTGGAAGAAACGTTCTCATGGTCAACCAAGAATCAAGAATGGTCGAACATGGTCGAAACATCGTCCGCAGACTACTTCTGGACAGTTTTTGAATCTTCCTCCTGTGGAGGACACATGCCCGACTTCACTGCAGCGCCACGATCTCACGGTTAGACCAGTGATCCCTAAGGACCTCCCTCCTTAGGCCAGGGACACCTAAGGACCAGAGTGCCGAACGTCAAATACGACCTCCACTGGATACTGGAAGTCTCGAAGGCCGGGGGGTGCACAGTTTCTCTGGGGGGCGTAGGCGACCCGAGGATGAGGAGAAGGAGGAGGAGGATGATGATAAGGAGGAGGAGGAGGAGCAGGGGGATGGGGGAGGGAGAGGGGGAGGGGGAGGGGGCAAGCTAGGTGCGCTCGCGTCATATCTGACGTCCTACCCCTCCCTCCCATCCCTTACCATGGCGCTGATTTTCTCTATCCGCGGACGCGTGTCGCAGCGGACCTGTGGCTCCGCGCGCGCGTGCGTAACTAGTGGGTGGTGGTGCGCGTGCGTGCGTGCGTGCGTGTGTGCGTGGTTGTGGTGGTGGTGGTGGTGGTGGTGGTGGTGGTGCTGGTGCTGGTGCTGGTGGTTGGTGCTGGTGTGCTGGTGCTGGTGCTGGTGGTGGTGGTGGTGGTGGTGGTGGTGGTGGTGGTGGTGGTGCGGCGCGGTGGTGGCGGGCGGATGGGCGCGCGAGAAAGAGGCCCGCGCTGGGGCGAGAACGCCATCCTGAACGACGGAGGCCAAACACCGATCCGAAAATGAGGCCCACGCTGCAGCGGGAGCACGATTCGGAACGATTCGGGAGCAGAAATGAGGCCGGCGCCTCAGCGAGAGCAGCATTTTAGAAAAAAACACAAGCGAAAACCCAACTCCGGGGAATCCTGTGTGTAAAAAAACAATACGCGGGGGGGTGCCGAATATCTTCCGGACGCCATCAGGGGAAGTGGGAGAGTATTTTCATATTGTGTAATTGTAGATGGAGGAGGAGGAGGAGGAGGAGAAGGAGGCGGAGGAGGAGGAGGGAGGAGCGGCCTCCATGGCCCCGAAATCCATGCTGTCGTCCACGGGGGGGCGCCTGCTGGCGTGCAGCGCCTTCTGCCGGCGGATCGTCGCCTCCATGTGCTCGATCTCGGCGGGGCTCGCCGTGCCCAGGCCGAAGGCCCCCGTCTTCTGGACGGTGACCTGCAGGAGGAGGAGGAGGAGGAGGAGGAGGAGGAGGAGGAGGAGGAGGAGGAGGAAACTCGTTCTCGAGATAACCTTCTACCCTGCCCTTCCGCGCGCGTCTCCTTCGGACCTGCTGCGGAAGGCGAGGTGGGGAGAGAGGGAGAGCCACGATCAAGGCCATACATACATCTCAGAAGCGCTCGCAGCAAAGAGAAGTTGCTATATGCACAAGACAAAAACGTTACTTGTGCACTGCCTGCGCAAGATGCAAGAGGTACCCTTGGAAGGCCTGCGCGAGACAAAAACGTTACCCGTGCACGGCCTGTGCAAGGTGCAATAATTACCCTTGGTAGGCCTGCGCAAGACAAGCGTTACCCGTGCACGGCCTGCGCAAGGCGCAAACTTTACCTTAGGAAGGCCTGCAGGTGGACTCACACTCGATCACTCGCCAACCTCGCTATCTACCACAATCCGAGTTCATCGACAACATTGATCTGGTCTGGGAAAGGTTCAATCAGGCTCTCGTCGTCACCTTCCAGGAGCTGTAAGGCATAACGCAGGGCCGTAATAGCACTGGTAGCAATGACGATATGTGACCGAAGGCGTCGGAGCACCTTCTGGCGTTCAATCTGCTCCTCCAGTTCGAGTCTCACTGGCTCCTCTATCTTTGCAAGGCACATTTCCAAGAGAGGATATGACGCTGAAGTGCATTGGCAGCAGTGCGAATAGGCGAGACCTGAGCAAGGAAGATCGACCTCTTTAGGAGGAGGAGGAGGAGAAGAAGGAGGAGGAGGAGAAGGCGAAGCGGTCTGAGACGCCCCTCCTGCTCCGCCTGCTCTTTCCGGTGCTGCCGTGAGTGACCTTTGGTGCGCGGCTGTTTGGGGGCCGCGGGGGGACCAAACACAAAGGCGCAAGACGCTACTACCGCACTGTGTTCGGCGATCGCGGGACCCCAGTGGGCGCGCACCAAAGGTCACTCCGGCGAAAGGTCACTCTTACGTCTGGTTAACTCTGGCATCCACCCATCCCCCTGCTCGGACCCCCGACGTCATGATTTTTCCATGACGTCGGCCCCAAACAATCTCGACCCATTCCCCGGGACCGGTTTCTCACCCCGAGTCGTCTTGTCGACGGTCCCGAGGCCCGGCGAGGGTCCCAGGGACCGAAAATAACCGAAACCTTCTGCTGTGTTTTTGTTCATGACTCGAGGGGGTCTGGGTCTGGCACCCACCCGTCCCCCTGCCTCCTTCCTCCCTGGCCCCCCCTGACCCGCTCTCCGCCTTCTTCCCCTCCCCCTTCTCCCTCCCCCTCGGATCTGCGGCGTGCAAGAAGGGGCGAGAGGGGCGGACAGAGGGGCTCCTTCCCTTTCCCTTTCCTTGCTCCTTTTCCTCCTCCTCCTCCTCCTCCTCGTCCTCCCCACCTTCTCCTGCCCATCCTCCTCCTCCAACCTCACTCATTTCTCCTCCTCCTCCTCCTGCTCCTCCTGAGGGCCCGCCGAAGTCGGTCCTCGCAGCGATGCATGCGCGTGTCTGTGCTGAAGAGGTGGCCAGAGCCAAGAAGGCGGTGGACCCTGGGACCCAGAGACCTATTCCGTCTGCCGTGGCCGCTCCGAGAGACCAGGGAGAAGTGCTCTCGCGGGCTCCTGGCGTGTCCTCTCAGCCCCTGGTGGAGCCCCTTGACCTTGAGGAAGAGGCGGTAAAGTGGCTCTTTGGAGGCGCGGATCTGGGTCGCCCTGCGGGACCCCAGCCAGCTGACGGTCAGCTCCCTTTGGGGAGGTGAGCCGATTCCGCGACCTCCAGATTTGGCGCGAGATGCGCCTGATAATTGACGGCCGTCCCTGCGCCCATGGGGTGGTGTGTTGGTTTCGACTTTCACGGTGATGTTGGGTGCGGATGCGGGCTGTGCCGCGAGGACGGGATAGATGCGAATCCTTCCCAGCGAATCCTCCCCCTCCTCCTCCTCCTCCTCCTCCTCCTCCTCCTCCTCCTTTCGAGCCTTTCGAGCGCGGCCCCAAGTCGCTCTCGCGACGCGGCCGAGGCTTCTCCTCCTCCTCCTCCTCTTCCTCCTCCTCCTCCTCCTCCTCCTCCTCCCCTGTCCTCCTCCTCCAGAGTGCGCCTCGTGGCCGGCTCGTGCGTGGCCCCCCCCCCGGTGGCACTTTGGTGGCCCCTTCGCCGGTGGGCCTTCTCGGATCAGGCGCCATTGGTCCGCGCATTGAATCGTTTGGACGCCCGAAATGGGTACGGAATACATGGGTACAATGCCCAACAACAGATGCTGTCCCAAACCCACAGCGGCCGCTGTTGGGCAGGCGGCCTTCTGTCTCGAATGGACACAGGCCGCGGCGGCGTGGACAGCGAATCCGGTTCAAAATGAACAGGGATTGTTCTTGGGCATTGCACCCGTTCTTTCCGTACCCATTTCGGGCGTCCAGAAATAGATCGGTGTTTGCTTTCTCCCCAAGAGCCTGGTCGTGTTGGAACCGGGGCGAGTCCCAAGCATTTTCTGAAGGCGATGTGCGGAGAACGAACTTCGCCCACACCAAAGCCTGAACCCGGAAAGAGCGTCGCCGGGGCAACATCCGGTGGGGGCAGGGGGGGCGGCATCTTAGGAGACTGCTCCTCAGAAGGCGCTGGCCCTACATCTACAGACAAAGCCCGAGCCTTCTAAGAAGCAGGGGTGCTTCTGAGAGGCCTTGCGTGGCTGAAAGAGCGTCGCCAGAGCAGCATCAGGAGCAGGTGCGATCAGACCTGTCGGGAAAAGCATCGGATCTTCGGACTGAGACGGTCGCGCGGCCAGAGGTCGCGCCATGAGCGGTCGTGGTCATTGGCGCTGGCGAGCGCACGGCAGTCAGATGCGCCGACGGAAAGCAAGCATAAGCTGTATAAGCATGACCTTCGGAGGTTCAGGCCGACTTCTTGAATCGACGCTGGACCACTATTCATGGCGCGCGGAGCGCGCCAGGGTCGGCGCCAGAGGCGCCGCCAGGGGGGTCCAGCGCAGGTCCAACAAATCTGCGCCGACCTCTGAACGCTGACGCTCACGACAATTTCCCTTCTTCGGGCCGAGGCGGCGGCCTTGCTGGGGTCGATGCGCATGGCCTTGCCGGTGGGGTCCAGAACCTCGGGGTCCATCAGTGAAGACTGGCTTTAGGTCGGGCGTGTCCTCCTACAGGCGGATTCTGGAACCAAAACATAAAGCATCGTCAACAAATATCCAACAAGACTCAAAAGAGCACGAAAAGTCGTTCCCAGACTATTTTGTTGACTATTCTTGAGAATTCCTCCTGTGGAGGGACCTGCCCGACTTAAGGCTGGCGCAGGGGGGGGGGGGGAGGCAAGGACGCGGAGGCGGAGCTGCGTCGCCGATGCAGGAGCAGCGACGGGCCCCGAGGGGCGCGAACGGAGGCCGCGCGCTCCTGGGCGGGGCGGGGGGGGGGCCCGGGCCCCGATGGGCGCTGCAGCGGCGGTGGGGGGTGGGGAGGTCGGTGCTCCTCCCCCCCGGTCGGCGGCGAACGAGAGGGGGGAAACGTGAGAAAAGGAAGGCCTTCTCAGAAGGCGGCGGGGCCCTATTCGGAAGCCCTCGGGCCTGCTGAGGAGTTTGCCTCGTCTCCGGGGAAGGACGGGCCTGTTTTCCGAAACCACCACCATCAGTTGGAGGGGGAGGCCCTCCTCCTTCTCCTCCTCCTCCTTCTCCTCCTCCTCCTCCACCTCCTTCCCCCCTCCAACCTATGGTGGTGGTGGCGGCGGAAAACAGGCCCATCAGGAGAAGGCCCAGAGGACTTCTCGGAAGGCCAGGGGAATTCCGAGCCTTCCGAGAAGGCCCGCCCCTCCTCGCTGAAGGGGCCCTGGGACACACACAAATTCGCGGGCCCAACGGGCTAGAGGCGTGCTAAGATCTCCGGTAACTGGTTAACAATATTTTTAGTTCGCGCGCGCGGGGCGGCCCCTGGGGGTCCCCGGGCGAAAAGTACCCCGGGAGAAGCCTGGGAGGAGACCCCGGACCGGGCAATTTTTCGACACCCCTCACCAGGATCGTGGCCTCCGAAGGGGGAGCCGCAATCGACTACCCCCCTCCCACCCCAAGAGGCCCACAAGAGCCCCCTAAGAGGCCCTGGGGGCCCCCAAGACGCCGCCAAGGAGCCCCAAGAGACGCCCTAAAGAGGGCTCCAGGGCCGGCGGAATGAGCGAAGCGATTAAAGAACAAGACACAAATAACAAGATTCTCCCAATATTTCTCAATATCTTCTGGGTTTTCGCCTTCCCCCCACTGTCCGTATTTTCCCATATGTTCTGGGGAATCTATGATTCATTGTGTCTGTGAGTTGTTTCCCCCCCTGATTCGCACTTCCCCCCCCGGGGCTTGCCGCCGACCCTGGCCACAACTCCAGCCGGGAAATCTGCGCCGAGAGCCTCCACGCTGCCCGTCATCTTCTGGATGTAGGCGGCCACCTTCTTCTCCCGGGCGACCACGCCCACTTCCCGCGCAAACTCCTCGGCCTCCTTCCGCTTCTGCTGGGCCTCCTGGACCTTCCTCTTGTCCCTCACGTCCTCACCATGATCACCGTCGACACCATCAACCACACCACCGTTGCCAACAACACCAACAGCATCGCCAACTTCAGCATTGCCGTCATCATCATGGTCATCACCTTCACAATCATAACCACCATCACCATCATCACCATCATGACCATCACCAGCACCATCATGATCACCACCACGAACCATCACCACCATCAGCAACACCAGCATCATCGTCACGGTCATCAGCACCATTATCACCAACGCCATTACCACCACCATCACCACCGTCACCACCATCACTACCTCTTGCCCTTCATGTCCTCCTCGAGCAGCTGCTCTACCAGCTTCTCGTTGCGCAGCGCCTTCTGGGCCATCGCCTTCTGCTTCTGCTTCTCCTTCACGGCGTCGAGCTCCTGGGGAGCCAGTGGCACGCCACACGAGCAACCGAAGCTTCGGATGCCTGCGCGCGCCTTCCTCCACCGGCGCCGTGCCTCCTGCCCGCGCTCCGCCCCGCCATGCGGAGCGCGCAAGGGGCGGGGCGACGGGGGGGGTGAGGCCTGGTGCCAGCGGCGGAGCCGCCCGCGGACGCCCGAGGCTCGTGTGACAATGCGGCTTTTTCTGGCTTTAAGCTGAGACGAAGCCAGGACGAGGACAAACTCGGGCGAAGATAGATCGAGAGTCTCCAGACGTCCGGCTGCTCCACTTTCTTCGATGCGTGGGCCCCGAAGGTCCGGACCACCTCCCTAGGGCTGGCGTTTTGTCCTGAATCGATATTTGACGCTTCCGAACCCGGCGAGGGTCCCTGGAGGCCGAAACAGGGCCCAAGTCCGCCGCTCCAATTTTTTTTGGGCGTCGGATCTCTGGGTCTCTAAGATCCAGCAGCTCTGGAGGATGTCTGGGGCGCTGCGGCCTTCGCGGAACGCTCCAAAGAGCGCGCCGAGAGCGTGCCGGAACCGCTCCGTGGAACGGATTTGGTCCTCGCCCACGCTCCGCCCGACTGGCTTTTGACGCCCTGCTGTTCACAACGCGTCGACCCCCCGAGGGGGAGGCCTCTGAGAAGGCCCTTGCCTTCTTAGAAACTCCCCTCCTCCTCCTCCTCCTCCTCCTCCTCCTCCTCCTCGTCCTCCTCCTCCTCCGCCTCCTCTCCCTCGTCCTCCTCCTCACTCGCTGTCATGGCGGACTTGGTCGCAAACTTGAAGCCATCCCCAGCCCTGCCCTGAAAAGTCTAGAGGAGCGTAGGGCCGGTTTTGAAAGGTGGTGCCACCAACCGAAGGGGGGGGCTTCCCATGGAGGAGAGGGAGACGCGACGGACGGGGACGACACGGGAGGAAAGCAACAAACAGGAGTAGCGGACAGGGAGAGGAGAGGAGCAAGAGGAAAGGGGGGCGAGGAGGAGGAGGAGAGCAGAGGAAAGGGGAGAAGACGAGGGAAAGGTCCCAGCGATTCACCGAGCACCCCGAGCCCCCCAACCGAAAGTGCGGGAAGCCTGTACAGTGCTTCGGGCGCATCGGCACCTCGTGCGGCGCGGCGAAAGGCGAGGCAGGAGGAGGAGGAGGAGGAGGAGGAGGAGGAAGAGGAGGAGGAGGAGGAGGAGTAGGCGGCGGAGGATCGGCGGAAACCTGTGTGTGTGTGTGTGTGTGTGTGTGTGTGTGTGTGTGTGTGTGTGTGGGAGGGGGGCGCTAGGGGGGGGGGCGGTCAGAAGCTGGGGCCTATGTATAGTGGCAATGTCGTTTTGTCCGTGTTCCTCCCCATACCTTAATCCCATAACCTAAGCCCTTCCCATCCCTGGCTGGCCGGTGGGCGCGCGGCAGCATTCGGAGGCAGCGCTTGTAAGCGCGGCGTGGAGGTGACGCGCGATGGACCTGGTAGCGGGCACGGGGCTGGGGGCCAGAGTTGACGAATTCGTATTCGTGTCGCCTCGCGTCGTTGCAGTGCTATGCAGCGGGGGCCGTGTGCGTCGCACTCCTGCTGCTGTGCCAGAAACTGCGGTGATACCACCTGGAGCGGTGGCTCTTCTCTGGGGGTGAGGCGCGGAGGCTGGATGACTGCGGGGCGCTGCGAGGCAGGAGCAGGTATGGAGGGCGAAGAAAAGGGCGCGTTACTTCGTCGGGCATCGTGCGCCACGGTGGGGACCTCTCACTGGCACGATAAATGTCACGGACTCATCCACCCTCATTCGAACATGGTCCGGTGGAGATGGCGGCCCGATTGGGGGGGCCAGCCCCTCCGTGTATAAATAGCTCACTGTGTCGCCGGTGTCATTGGCATCTGAATCCGATGTGGGGGGCTTGGTGCGATTATGTCATCGGCCTCGGGAACCTCTGTCACGTCGTTGCCGGTGTCCACGCTTGTAGTGTGAGGCCCGTCTTGGGTGGGCCAGTCCCGCCGTGTGCAGGTACATCTGGGCGTCGCAGGTGTCGTTTGACTCTGCGGTCTGCGCAAGGAACTTGGTATGACGACGTCATTGTCCTCTGGCTCCTCGCGTTGCTTCCCCTGGTTGTAGGCGCACCCGTCGGTGGTCTGTGGCACCTCTGGATGAGACCAGTCCCGCCGCGTTCTCTTAGAGGCGGGGGCGGAAGGCGCCATTGACATCTGTGAAGCACAAAAGGAGCTTACTGTGACCGTGTTACTGTCTCTCTTGGGCGTGAGCGCGTCCTCTGCGTCGGTGGGGGTGGGGGTACGCTAGGTCCCTGAGGATGTTATAATGCAGTTCTGGATGGTTGTCGTAGCGCCCAACGATGGTGGAACTTCCCTCGTGAGGTCCATCGCGATGACAGGATAACATCCCACTGCGGCCAACGGCGAGGGGCAGCCGCTGAAGCAATCGTTGGTGTGGGGCTGGTGCATGCTGGGGATCTGGACGACGATGTCCTCGGTCTTGATTTCGACGTTGCGCCTGCTCCATAGCGCTTCCTCGCATGCCTCGAGGCGACGGCGCCTGGCTAGGCGCCGTGCGGTGGTGGGCCATCTAAGGCCGCCTCCTCCATGCGCTGCGAGCTATTCCTCCATGCGCTTGCGGGCCGCCTCACTGGCGGGCAACCCCCGTGGTGCTGTTCTTGGCGGTGTGCTGGCTCTGGTCCTTGACGCTCATGGCGAAATCCGCGTAAGCAGGCGAAGCGAGAGAAATGGATATGGTAAGATGTGAAAGTGTCGGAAGAGAAAAACGATGTGCCGGAGAAGCGCGGGTTCGATAAACCGCGCTGGGCGAGGCCTCGGCGCCGACCTGTTCGGCAAGGGGGAACGACCCAGGCCCCGACGCCTTCCTCCTCCTCCCCCTCCTCCTCGTCGTCTTCGTCGTCCTCCTCCTCCTCCTGGCTGCCCTCCTCCTCCCCTCGGCTGCCTGGACCCATTCTCCAGGACCGGCTCTGCATCCTGACATGTCTTGGGCGGTCTCACGGGGGCCTGGCCAAGCCCCCCAGAAGCCGACCCCAGCACCGCAAGCATCGAGAGTTCGCCCCCTTTTTTGTTGTTGTTTCTCTCGCGAGCGAGGTATCCTCGCTGTTTGTTGTTGTTTGGTGTTGTTGTTGTTGTTGGTGGTGGTGGTGGTTGTTGGTTGTTGTTGTTGTTGTTGGTTGTTGGTTGTTGGTTGTTGGTTGTTGGTTGTTGATTGTTGATTGTTGGTTGTTGGTTGTTGGTTGTTGGTTGTTATTGTTGTTGTTGTTGCTGCTGTTGTTGTTGTCGTCGTCGTTGTTGTTGTTGCTGTTGTTGCAGTTGTTGTCGTTGTTGTTGTTGTCGTTGTTGTTGTTGTTGTTATTGTTGTTGTTGTTGTTTTTGTTGTTGTTTGTTGTTGTGTGTTTATGTTTTGTTGTTGCTTTGTTTTTTGTTGTTGTTTCTCTCACGAGCGTCTCGGGCTCTCCGTCTCCTCCTTCCGCCACACCTCGTAGGGGTTCAGGCCGCTGTTGAGCAGGTCGATCGTCTGCTGCTCCCGCTCGTGCCTGCGCGCGGCCTCCTCAAGGAGAAGCGAGAGCGCCCTGCACACACAAACTGCCGGCGCTCCGCGCGGACTTCTCGGACCTGCGCTGGACCCACCCTCGCGCGCCAGGGGGCGGCGCGCCAGCGGCGCCCTGCAGGGGGCCCCCCGGCGCAGATTTCCGAGAAGTCCGCACGGAGCGCCCAGGAGCTCATCGGCGGCGAGCGCGGGGGGGAAAGGAGAAGGGGCGGGCCCTCTCAGAAGGCTCGGAAGCCCCCAGGCCTTCTGAGAAGTTCGCTATGCCTGCCCCGAATACGGAGAAAACTCCTCAGAAGGCGCGAGGGCTTCTGAGAAGTCCGACCGCCCTCTGAGAAGGCCTTCTCCCTCTCACTGCCCCCCCTCGCTCGCCGCCGAGCTCAGGGTCTGTGGCGCTCTGTTCCTCCTCGCCGTCCTTCTTCGCCGTCCTCTCGTTGAGGCTCTGCATCTGCCTCCTGGCTCTGGCCATCGCTCGGACGTCCAATCTCTGTGCTTTTGTCCGGTTTCGTGCGCGTGCTTTTTCGCCAATGTTTTGTTTTCCTCTCCTCGGTGGTCTTCGCCGGAGGAAAAAACGCACACGTCCCAGCGATGCCGAGGGCTTCGCCCCCCCCCCCCCGGGGGGTCGGCTGGCCACCACAAGGGGGGGGGGGCACGCCGAGGCCCTGCCCACTCGACCATGGACGGTCTTGTGTCGGGCGTGTCCCCCTGCAGGGGGGCTGTCGACGAAAAATTAAAAATACCCCCAAAATCGGGTCGGGCGAAAGGGGGGGATAGCAAAGGGGGGGGTTGAGAATCAGCTCACGTAGCTGATTTTCCCGGCGCCTCCCGGCGCCGGGAGGCGCCCATGTATCGAGGAATGGGCCCCTCGGTGAGGCCGAAACCAGCTGCATGCAGCAGATTTCGTACCCCCCCCTTTCCCAATCCCCCCCTTTCGCCCGGCCCGAAAAATGCAACAAAAAGGTAAAACAATACTCCAAAAAATAGTCCCCAGACTATTTTGGGATTTTTTGTTGACTATGTTTGGGGTATTCTTTCTGTTTCGTCGGAAATCCCCCCGTAGGGGGACAGGCCCGTCTTACGGATAGTGAGCATGCGCGGTAAGGATGCAAGGGCCTTGGAACGCCAGGTTGACGCTCTCCGTGCGGAACGCAGCAGAATGCCGAAGGATGCCGAAAACCGAAGGGGCAAGGATGCAATGGCAGCCCTGGAGAGTTGCCCCATCCTTATGATCATGGTTGACTGTACAGGCCTCGGGCGGCCCGGCCCGAAACCGTCAGGCTCATTTCTTCGCGACCTTGTCGGCGGTGCCAGGGGGCTGCCTTTTTCGAGTCCGCGGGGCCGCCAGGGAAAAAGCGTGGGCCAAGCACCGCCCTGGGGAATGTTGTCAGAAGTGCCAGGGCTGAGAGGTTGGGGCGGGGGCGGGGGCTGAGGAGGAGGAGGAGGAAGCGGAGGAAGGAGGAGGAGAAGGAAGGAGGAGGAGGAGGAGGAGGAAGAACGCCACAACACTCAGCTAAGATTTGCTTAACGTGAAAAGGAGGAGGAGGAGGAAGGAGGAGGAGGGAGGAGGAGGACGGAATGGAGGAAGGAAGGAGGAGGGGAAGGAGGGAGGAGGGGAGGGAGGAGGAGGTGGAGGAGCAGAGGGTGGAGAAGTACCACGGTGGAAGAGTTCCAGGGCCGCCGACTCGAAACCACCGAGCCGTCGGAGCACCTCCCCGATCCCAGACCCCCGACGTCATGATTTTTTCATGACGTCGACCCTCAGAGATCTCGACCCATTCCCCCGGACCGGTTTTTCATCCTGAGTCGTTTTTTGACGGTCCCGAGGGCCGGTGAGGGCCTCCAAAGGCCGAAAATAAAGAAAAACCTCCCGTCATGATTTTTTCGTTGCCCGAGGGGGTCTGGGATCCTCTCCCCCCCCTGGCCCAGATCCCCGAACAGCCTGTCCTCGCATCCTCCCTCGGCCCGTCCCGGCCTGCCTGGTGTCCCAGGTCGGCTCCCGGCGCCCCCCGGGGCCCGGACCGGGCCTCCCCCACGCCGACCTCGAGGGACACACACAGCTGTGGCGCTTCTGCATGCCACCCCCCTTTTGAAGGGGCCCTGGGACACACAAGTACTCCAGATTTCGCAATAAAAGGGAGGGGGTCTGGACCCTCCAAGACAAGCCATTTCAGACCTCCCCCGTGGGAGAACCCTCCAAAACATCGTCCCCAGACCCCCCAGGCCCTCCAAGATAGCCTGGAAGAGACCCCCCCCCCGAAACGAGACCCCCTCCCGTTTATTACGAAATCTAGAGTAAATAGACACAAGTAGAAAGACTCCCCATATTTTCCCATACTTTCTGGTATCTGGTCTTCCCCCCCACTTCCCATACTTTCCCCTATTTTCTCGGGAGTCGACGATGAATCGTGTCTGCGTGTTTTTTCTCCTCCTGACCTTTGGCGCTGCCGTGAACCAGGGTCCTGTTCCGTTCCACGGAGGGCTCGACCCCCTTCCCCCGGACGGGCGCTTCATCCCACACTTTGGCGGGCTTCCCTGGGGGGAAAGCAAACCTACCTCGCTTTTGGCCACCCTCGCTTCCAAGAGATACCAAACGAGGCCAAACTACGGCCTGTACTGGTCAGGCCGCTTGACGAGGAGGTGCGTGGTATGGCTTGGCTTTGCCTGGAAGCGAAAGCGGGCTAGGTAATTCACGCTCTGATTCCCCCACAACCAGCCAAGGCCCTCTGAGGCCGAACGCCGCGAAGAGGCCCCGCGCCTTGAGTCTCTCGCGGCGACGCGGAGAGGGCCTGGGGCCCCTCCTCGACAGCCGCACGCGGAACTTCTCCCGCGGTGTGCTCTGGCGAGAACTTCGAAGCGAACCTGGCCGCGGCCACCAGGAGACTCCCAGAGGCAAGAGATACGAGAGAGAGTCGAACGGCCTCGAACCTCGATGCTCAAGTCGCGAGACTCTCACGACGACGCCAAGCGGGCCTGGGACCCCATCCTCAACTCGCACCCCGAACTTCTCCCGAGGTATGCTCTGGCGAGAATTTCGAAGTGAACCCGGCCGCGGCCACCAGGAGCCTCCCAGAGGCAAGAGATACAACAAAACGTCGAACAGGCTCGAACCTCGCGCCCTAAGTCGCCTCGAACCTCGAACAGCCTCGAACCTCGAGCCTTGAGAACAGTTCCGAACCTCGAGACTCAGGCCCGGACAGCCGACAATCTGCTCTTCAAAACCGCGGCCCCTGAGCTCCTGACCCCCCCCTCCATGTGGGGCAGTTCTGCGTCACGGGTCCATCTTTGAGGGTCCAGGGGCCCGAAACAGACCGCTGGGATTAAGTCGGGCGTGTCCCCCTACAGGGGGATTTTGGACGAAAAATAAAAAACAAACAAAACAAAGCTCCCCAATGGGACAGGAATAGTCGCAACATCCTCCCCCAAGACTATCTTCCTACTACTTTTGAACCTTCCTCCTGCAGAGGGACAGGCCCGACTGAAGGCTGGGATCGAGCGACTCACTCCTTTGGATGCCCAGGGGGAGGCATGGCATCGGAGGAGCAGGAGGAGGAGGAGGAGGAGGAGGAGGAGGAGGAGGAGGAGGAGGAGTGGCGGAGGAGGAGGAGGAGGAGGGAATAGGAGAGGGAGGAGGAGGAGGGAGGAGGAGGAGGAGGAGGAGGAGGAGGAGGAGGGAGGAGGAGAGGAGGAGGAGGAGGAGGAGGGAGGAGGAGGAGGAGAAGGAGGAGGAGGAGGAGGAGGAAGAGGAGGAGGAGGAGGAGGAGGAGGAGGAGGAGGAGGAGGAGCAGGAGGGGCGGAACCCGCTCGGCCGAACATCAATCCAGAAGCATCGGCTGGCACTGGAACCGCCGCCGCGCGCCCTTTCTCGGGCGAGACCGACCTCGGCTCCGCCCACCGGCACGCCGGCACCAACACTGGCATCAGCACTCGGCGTCGGAAGCTGCCCTGGCTGGGGCCTCGTACCGGAGCGATGCCAGGGGAGGGGGGGGGGGAACGGCGGGCCCCACCCCCCCCTTGCAGGTGTGTGTGTGTGTGTGTGTGTGCCGCCTCCTCGAGAAAGCGCCACTTCCTCGAGGAGGTGGGGCCCTTGGAGCTGAGGCCTTCGCTTTCCCCCAGAGCGACCACAGCCGCCTCGAGCCACCCTCGAGCTGCGACCCTGGAGCCTCAGCTTCCAGCAGGAACTGGCGACCCCCCCCTCCCCCAGTGGTGAGCCTACATGAAGGGGCCCGAGGACACACAAATAAATACACACAAATAAAACAATCTCCAAGATTTTCATTTTTTTTCGGGTTTTTTGTCTTCCCCACCACTTTCCACAGTTTCCAATATTTTCTTGGGAGTCGACGATTAATTGTGTCTGTGTGTTTCTTTCCCTCCCGATTCAGGCAGGAACTGGCGACCCCTCCCTCCCCCAGTGGTGAGCCTACAGCGGCCATGGGCCGAGGGCCCTGGGCGACGCCGCGCGGCCGCTTGGAGGCCTGGACGCAGGCACCAGCACCGACACGGGGGGGTGCCTCCACAGGGGGGAGATGATCCCGGGTTTCGGTGCTGGTGGTCATATCTCGGCCACCTTGGAGGCCAGAACGCTACCACCATCGCCGAGACCAGGATCTTCTGCCCTCGGTGGAGGCACGCCGCTGATATTGGTGTTGGTGTCAACCACGAGGCCTGCGAGCCGCGGCAGCGGCGGCGGCCGGGGGCGACGGCGGCCCGCCTGGCAGCCGTGGCGGCGGCGCAGGCGGCGGCGGCGGACGTCGCACGGGCCGTGCGTGATGGCGCGGACGGGGTCGGGCCGCCGCGCGGCGCGCGGCCGCGCGCCGCAAGGGGACGGCCCTGGCCACGATGCCAGGCCGAGCAGCGCGGAAGAACCCAAAGGCCGCATCCCCCCCCCCACAGAACCCACAGAACCGGGCAGAAAGCTCCGGCGCCCCGCGGGCCAAAACTGCACGATCCCCGCAGTGGCGGAGTGGAGGACGAGAAGGTGAGGGAAGAGGAGGAGGAGGAGGAGGAGGAGGAGGAGGAGGAGGAGGAGGAGGAGGAGGAGGAGGAGGAGGGGGAGAAGGAGGAGCAGAAGGAGCAGGAGGAGGAGGAGGAGCAGGACGAGGAGGAGGAGGAGGAGAAGGAGGATGAGGGGGATGGGTGAGGGGGAAGGGGACAAGTCAGGTGCGCTCGCGTCGTATCTGACGTCCAACCCCTCCCTCCCATCCTTTACCATGGCGTAAAACTCCTCTCTATTCGCACAATCGGATGTCGTAGCATGGCGAAACATTAAATGGCATGACATGGTGTTGAAGATTAACACGTAGCCTGACAGAGCATGGCGTGGCGACGCCCCAGAGTGGGGGGGCTTCTGCGGTCAAAAGAATCAACGAACCGACATCGAGTGTGTCAACACGTCCAAGAGTTTTTTTCGGGGGGGCCCTTTTCTAAGTTTTGGGGCAAGACATGCCGTGGCATGGCGCTGCAAATAATGAAACCAGCGCTGCAGCGGGAGCACGATTCGGAACGAGGGGAGGCGCGGAAATGAGGCCAGCGCTGCAGCGGAAACACGATTCGGGAACGAGCGGTGGTCCGACAATGAGGCCCCAGCGCTTCAGCGAGAGCAGCATTTTGAACAAAAGCCCAAGCGCGGAAGCGCGGACGTGAGGACGCGTAGCCTGACATAGCATGGCGTGGCGACGCCCCAATGTGTGTGTGGGGGGGGGGCTTATGCGGCCCAAAGAATCAACGAATCGGCATCGCGTGTGTAATCAATTCCGATGGTTTTGTCGGGCGGCCATTTTCTGAATCCCACCAGCCCATTGGGCGTGAGTGGTTTAGAGAGCCCGCTCTGTTCTCAACCCCCTTCTTCCCCTTCGGGGAGGGGTTTACCCCTCCCCCTACCCCCTCCCCCTGGACCTGGAGAGGTCCTTTCGCGGGTGGTTGGAGGGGTCTTTTTCGACTCCTGGGAGGGCTAAAAAACGACACCGCTCACGAGGATTCTGGCCCCGACGGGGGGGGGGAGAAAAAACCCGCCCCTCTTCTTTGAAGCCAGAATCATTGATTTTACTACGGTTTTGGCCCCATTTTGGCCTTCTGAGGGGGCAGCGCTAATTAAAGCTCCCCTCTTCTTTCAAGCCCAAATCATTGATTTTACTAAGGTTTTGGCCCCATTTTGGCCTTCTGAGGGGGCAGCGCTAATTAAAGCTCCCCTCTTCTTTGATCGATTTCCTCCAAGATGGCCCCAAGAAGCGCCCAGGAGGCACCAAGAGGCCCCAAGATGGCCCCAAGAGGCCCCCAGGAGGCCCCCAAGAGGATCCCAAACGGCCCAAAGAGGCCCCCCCGAGGCACCCAAGACGCCGAAAAGCCCATCAGGACGACCCTCTACTCGCCTGGGCGTCGTTTCTGGACGGGCAGGAGGAGGGGCCCGAACGACTCACACCAGGACGAGGGGCCCGAACAACTCACACCACGAGAAGCCCGAACGACTCACACCAGGACGAAGAGCCCGAACGACTCACACCACGAAGAGCCCGAACGACTCACACCAGGAAGAAGGGCCCGAACGACTCACACCAGGACGAGAAACCCCAAACGACTCAAACCACGAGGAGCGCTTTCTCTCCCTCCTCCTC